TCTGTCTCTCTATTCTATTAATATATCTATCTGTCTACCTCTCTCTCTCTCTCTGTGTCTATGTGTCTCTGTCTGTGTCTTGGTTTTTCTGTATGCCTGTCTTTGTCATTCTCTAGCTGTCTGCCTATCTCGTTCTGTCCGTGTGCCTGTCCCTATCTGTCTGTCTGTCCATCTGTCTGTCTGTCTGTCTTCCTTTCTGTTTCTCTGTCTCCATCTGTCTGTCTCTGTTTTTCTGTCTGCTTCTCTTCTTCAGTCTTTCTCTGTGTGTCTCTCTTTGTCCCTCACTCGGTCACTGTTCTCTGTCTCTTTCTTTCTCAGTTTTCTCTCTCTGTTTCTGTGTGTGTGTGCGTGTGCGCGTGTCTCTCTCTCTCTTCTCTTCTTCTCTCTCTCCCCCCCCCCTCTCTCTCTCTCTCTCTCTCTCTCTCTCTCTCTCTCTGTGTTTCTCTGAATCTTCGTCACGGCCTTTCTGTCTGCCTATCTGTGTTTGTCTGTGTAACTCTCCAGCTGTCTCCCTGTCTTGGTCTGTCTCTGCTTGTCTCTCTCTGCTTGTCTCTCTATGTTTGTCTGTCTTCTTGGCCCTGTACTTATGTCGCTGTTTCTCCGTTTGCTTCTCTTCTGTCTCTCTCTCAGTCTCTGTGTCTTCTTCCTTCTCGATCTGCCTCTCCCTTTCTTAGTTTTTTTCTCACTGTCTCTCCCTAAGGACCCTCTGTCTCTGGCTCCCTGAGTCTTTGTGTCTGTCTCTCCTTTTGTCATTCATTATGTGCGTCCCTCTGTTTCTGTCTCGGTCTTTCTGTGTCTGATTGTCTGTATCTGTCTGTTTTCTCCTCAGTCTGTGCTTTGTCTCTTTCTCTCTGAGTCTGTGTCTCTGTCTGTCGCTCTTTATGCGCAGCATCCCTCCGTTTCTGTCTTTCTGTGTCTGTCTGTCTGTCTCTATCTCTCTACCAGCCGCTGTTCTACACATAATGAAATTGTGTGGCACCGCGCACGTGGCTATGCGTGGGACATTCACACGCACACACACACACACATCCGTACGCTCGATCATACAAGTACATGTAGTAGTGAAGAATTCACCTCAGACACATTATTAAAACGTATCTCTCTTTCTCTCTCTCTCTCTCTCTCTCTCTCTCTCTCTCTCTCTCTCTCTATGCCTGCCACTGTGCTGCATATACAGTTAGTGAAATTGAATGGCACAGAACACGTACATGACTGTATATTTACGCACACATGGGGCATTCACGGATGCACCCACACACACCATGTATACGCCCGTCGCAAGAGAAGCACCAAATCTGCAAATGCACACCCACACACACACACTTGTACGCTCGATCATACAAGTACACACACACACACACACTCATACGCTCGATCATACAAGTACAATGTAGATTATGTAGTAGTGAAGAATTCACATCAGAGACATTAAAACGTCTCTCTCCCTCTCGCTCTCTCTCTCTATGCCTGCCACTGTGCTGCATAATATTATACAGATAGCGAAATTGGTGTGGCATATAACATATACATGACTGTATATTTACCCACGGGCCAAGCGTGGGACATTCACGGATGCACACACACACACACACACCACACCACACACATGGCCTGCAGCAAATAACATTTCATAGCTACAAGACCTTCAAAGAAAGTCATGGTGTCAAGAAGATAGACACGTACAAGGATAATTGTAAAGTATAAATTATATTATACATGTACATGTAGCAGGGATATTCTCAGAGAGTCAAACTACCGGATGAAATGGCAAACGAAAGTCTCAACTTCAGAGAGTAGAGTAGAGAGTAGAGTGGGTGGGTGTGCAGACCAGCGAAGGTCATAACAAATTGATAATAACGTGTAACCAATGCCGGCAATGGATAATGTGTGAGCGACCAAAGAGGCGTACATAGCATTACCTGTACCACCATAAACACACCTTGACCTTGCCCATTGCGTAGCAATGATACCGCATTGTTATTTCTCAGTGCATGCATGGCGCCTGGAGTCCGCGCCTGACCATGCTGACGCGAGTGACCATGGTGACGGTCCGAGGACTGTGACTAGCCCAGGTGTGAAAGCGGTGCTGGGACACAGTGTACTGGACTGGGTTCAACAAAGTCTCTACATCGCCGGATTCCTCGATCTCAGAGTCAAATTTCCTTTGCAGTTTGTTTTGACGAAGTTCGTCGTGTTTTGGACGATGCTTTCGCTTTGTGGAAAAGAAAAATGAAGCATCGACATCCAGAGGGCCAGCACTCTATTCAGAGCTATTTTGAGCAGCAGGCAAAGCGTGTAGCCAGTGCTAGTGGCGAAGGTCAAGAGATAGATGAGAATGGAGACGCACCTGACTTGCAAGCGAAGGCTGCATGCATCGAGCAGCGCTGAGGAAGAAATCGTCGGCGAAGCTGTAGAGCGACCGTTGTTACTTCAGTGACATGGGAGTGTGTTGGAAGGGATATGTGTTCGAAGGAATATTCTGAAAGTCGACGTCCACAGTGGAATCCAGTCCCCCGACATTTGCCGGACACGGAAAAGATTTCCGGCGTCACCGACAATCATTGTGCGCCACCGAAGGCGAAGGATTTCATTTCCTGTGCGTGTCCAGATGGATGGCAAACAGCGCCACTTTCAACTATCCTTGTTACAGGAGTTACCTTGGGTAGTCTTTTGACCGGCGTGCAATGGTGGCCTCTGCTTGCCCTGTGTGATGTTTGCTCCAGATGATTCGAAACTTAGGCAGCTTTCAAGACTGCACGCAATCGTCATGCTGAACAAAACATCCATAAAACGGGGAAAAGTTCAGTCTTTTAAAATCAAAAATGCGTAGCAATGACATCGTATAGCAGCTTGTGGATGAAAATTTCACCCAGTCTGAGGAGAATAAGCAGAAACTCCGTGGGATACAATTGTGTGGAATGTTGGTTCATCAGTTGGCATGGGAACCACTCCTGGAGGCGAGCGGCGTACGCCCCTGAATGCAGACTAGCAATAAGAGGCATTTGTCAGATACTAGTAACCATGAGGTACTGAGACGATTCTCTTTAGCAAACCACCCACTCCGCTATAAATGCTCAAATAATCTGTCATCTGCCTGCTCCAACTTGACCAGGCGCGTGCACCGTATGAGTTTTTTGGTGTCTGGAAACCACCTTTTTTCGGGCAATCTTGCCAAAAGAAAAGCGTGTAGTACTGGATTGGTTATCCATCCTGCATACGCATCGATCGACGGGCAGTTTACAGAACAGTGACTATGTCCTTATTTCGAAGTGAGAGAGAGTTGCTTTGCATGCAGTTCGAAATACATTATTCTCTTTTTCTTCAGTGGAGAGTAGCCACGGAGGGATCAATCTCTAGCTCTGGTTCGCTCCTGGATTGGCGATGACGTTCAAGAAATCCGGTTTGTCTCGAAATTTGAGTCAAGCACGCGCGATGCAAGTCAGTTCAAGGATATGATTGACGATATCTCCTTCCAAACCGTTGACTCAAATCAAGATCGCCACAGCCTTTCGTTCTCGCTCATGTGCGCAGCAGAGATGTTCGTCAAAAACGTTGTCGACTGGAAGACGTAAAAATGTGCGTCCATGATCCACTTGCGCTGCTTCAGAACGAAGCGCTGCTCCGGCCGCGACTCAAGGACGCGGGGCTTCGCTTTTCTTCCGCGAGCTTCCATCGAAGCAAGGTCCATAACTCTCTATTGAAATCATGTGGAACATTGCCAATACATGCTGAAAACTTCGTCATAAGAACAGAAAGAAAGAGACGTCGAATGTAAGCAGTTTTTGATGAAACAAACAAGCCTGGAGTGGACTTGTAGTGAAGTACCATAGTCTGATAGACATAGTGTTATAGACTGTATAGTGTAGCCTGGGCAGCTAGGCCTATCAAACTTTTACGTGTTCAATAATTATGACAAACATGTATATGAGTACATTGACTTTTGCACCCTTTTTGCAAATGCTTTTTGAAGTGCTGGTATGTAAAAGGTAACCCGTTTTATCCTGCTATCGATTATACATGTACATGTACCAACATTTCCATGTAACCGGCATCGTCCCCTCCCTCCATTCCTCTTTATTCTTATTTCTGTCCTTTCTACCCCTGTACCTGGTTCCCTCTCAGACGCGTTTGTGCCGGCATGATCTGATGATAGCAGTCGGACGAGCCCCGCATCTCATCAGCACCAGTGTTCATTGGTGCCCTGATCTTGAGTCCCCCCCCTCCCTCCTCCCTAGCCGCGCTAGCCGGCTGCCCTCGCCGTTATCTCCGACGGGATGTTCGGGGGATGCGCATGTGCACAAAATTCATACATAATTATACAATGGGGCCCCAGAAAAAAAATTATCAACTCTAGAAACCCCCCTTTCAAGACTCGGTGCACGCCACTGTTGACTGTCCTCTTGACAAGTGAAAATCGCTGGCGTTGTCTGGGCCATAAAACCATTATTGGCATTAGTCCAACGCCTCCCTTGCTCCTCATCTCTGCATCTCGTAACGATAGGTCTGGCACATCGAAATCTAAAACTAAAATACTTGGAGCTCTTATTTGTTCAAGCTATATTTTCAGAGCCAGGAAGTTGCAAATGGCAAGAAACCCAGCTTCTCTTCACCATTGGTATCACGAGCTATGATCATTATCAGTGAGCAACGTTACTAGAGGAAAGTCGCTGGAGTGAACAGAAAGCTTTCCAAGCAGCAACGTTTCTTTCTCAGCAAGAACAAATAAAAATGAAAGAAGCAACACCAAGGATTTGTCTATCCCGGTATAGGTACCCGGGTGTGTGTAGCCTCTGGCATGGCAAGGTTCTGCCACAGATTTCCAGTACAACGGCCACGGACAAGTGTCCCACTGAGGAGGTATATTATGTATCAGATTGCAACGACCAGGAGGCTGAAAATAGTGGCTGCAAATGACCGATATCCGTCACTTGCAGCTCTGCATCAGAGGCCTGTAGCTGGCCTGAAGAGTTGTAAAATTACTCCTTCGTAGTCGGGCGAGTCAGAGCGAGGGCGATTCACGGCTTGGCCAAAAAACTGTCGGCCTGGAACGTAAACGTCGATCTGCCGACACAGTTCACCTGGTTCACACGCCTGACCTCGACCTGGCATGCTGCCTTGCGTGAAAGGAACATTTTTCGGAAAGCAAGCTTCTTCTCCAAAATTCGAAATTTCCTTCCAAAAAATGCCGTCGTCCTTGACCTCGAAGCTGAATGTTGTTAGGATAGAAAATTAGCGAAGATGTAGCCGACCCATTCTGGCAAGCCGTGTGCCCTCTGGATATGCAGTTGTTCGCCATGGTCAACAATCTTCTTCTCCTTCGTTCGTACTTTCACTTTCCTGACCACGAATACAAGCGGTACCCATGCTCAGGTTAGTGTTTATTTGTCTGTCTATGCACATACATGTATTACAATGTACTGTTCGTGCTGCAGGCACTGGCCGATCATGGAAATAGAGGAATCTGCCAGCTTTCTTTGAATTCTCATCCAGTCAAGAAAAATATGTACACACTTTCCTTGGCTCCTTTTTCCCACCGCCACCATGCGCATGCATGCACTGCTTTTCAAATTTGTGTTTGCTTTGGCAGTGGTTTCATGTGTATCCTTCAGCCTTCCCTGGCATTCAAAATTCAGAATAGTTTCCACCCAGGTGCTAGTGCCTCTGTTCTGCTTAGCACATTGTAGTAAAATTATTTGCAACAGTGTCCACCCCTCCACACTGCACTCTTGGTTCACATTCACCACACCATAGCGAGGAAGTTTGTTCTTGGATAGATGTCTGGAGGATGTAGAGCATCTATCCAAGAACGAACTTCCTCGGTATGGTGTGGTAAATGTGGGCCTAGAGCGCAGTGAGGAGAGGTGGACAGTTTCAAATTAGTTAGCCACATCCGATCCTTTCTCCGATAGTTATGGACATTTTTTACTATAATATGACATTGAATGGCCACTCATGCTTCTATCGAGAGGTAACACCACTCAGGAAACTGAGGAAAGCCAACCGGTGTTGCACAGGATTTGAGGTTGGGAAGAAAAGATGTTCCGATAAAAGAACTGCGAGTACATGGGAAACGTATTATGGAAAGGGCAGTCTGAGTCGAACTAGGATCTCCTGTTCCAGACTGTACCGAAAGCGTGCATATGAATACAGTAGAGTGCGGATAATCCGAACAATCACTTATCCGAAATGCCAGTTTCCATTGAATTGAAGGGACAACCCCAAGCACCATTCAAGCGGTGCACAAGATGGTTTGCAACAGGTTGGAGCAACAATGTATCACCGTAGAGTCATATTGAGGAGCTAGAGTGTGTCTAATTCCTGTGAAGAAATGATGGAAACGTGAAGGAATGTGCAAGTCTTAGATGGATGTGCGATTGCTCCCTTATCCGAATTTTTCCCCATCCGAACCCCCTGGAGAAAGCGTGCGCCCGAGGAGTGCGGATAATCTACACTCTGCTGTAACAGTTATGCACAATGCGTTTCGATGCACATTGGACAACGTTGCAAATGTAGAACTGTAGGTGGACTGTGGTTCACATTAGACGATCGGAGTGCCCCCACCAAACGAAGAGTGCTCAACATCACAAGGTAGAGCTTGCATATACAATCAAAAAAGAGTACATAACATATACCATTAGCTGATACTGTTAGTGTGCATTACGAAGTCTGAAGAAAATCTTGAACGATCTCGGCTGGGATGACGGCTACACGTTAGCTCAGTGATTAGAGCATCGCTGGCCTCAAGCGAAGGTCCCTGGTTCGAATCCTGGTGGTGACAGTCAATTTTTTCTTCAGACCTTTCCCGTTTGTGTCTTTCCCTCAAACCAGTGAATATTACTGTTAGCTTCGTACTTTGAGTGATTATCACTTACAGTTACATACCGTAAAAGCCCCTGTATACGCCCACTCGAAATTACGCCCACCCTCCGTGTACACGCCCAGTCAGGGAAAGTCAACACGTTTGTTTCAAAATAGCGCCCATGCCCATGTATACGCCCAGGTATGCCAGAAACACCAGTACATGTACAGGTACTGATACCCAATACTTACTGCTATCCCTATTCCCAGTATACACCCGGTTCCAAAATAACGCCCGTGCTCTTGTATACGCCCAGGAAATCGAGGCTGCTATTCTATACGCCCGGGGCCTATACACGGGCTTTTACGGTATACTTGATGATTTCTTAGCGCATGAAAATCGGAGTCAGTACCACAATATTCCTCCCTCACTATTATGAGTCTAGATACACTTTTGAATGTGGAACAGGGTCCAGGACAGGATCGTCTGCTCTATCCGAATTATGGCCTGGTTGCAATTTGTCTATTTGCCAGCAGGTACATCGCACCAGGGAGTCATAGCACCTACACTGTAGGGAGACTACACAATACTTTATAGAATTTTGGGTCTGGATTTGGAGGTTCTCCGTGATTTGTGCAACCCGCGATCACGGCCTTGACCTACTGACCCTGAGAACGGCCCAGATTAGCAATGCCATGTACGAGCGTGTACAGATCTGCCCAATGGTGCCCCCAGGGTGGCTGAAACAGGAACCCCTGGGTCGAACCCCATGCCATTTAGCTTTACAGTCGCCTGTGCCGTCTACCTAGATGCTACAACTCCCTGCGCTGCACGCAGCAAATGCAGCACATCAAGTATACAGCCATGTAGTGTTGGTTGTCACCTGTTCTGATCGTGTGATATCACAAACAATCTTCTACGATCCATTCATTTGAACCTGGCACGTTAGGGGCCGTCCATAATTATCTATCTTTAACACGAAACGAGAAAAAATCGTTCATGGGCGGGTGGGTCAAGAAGGGTTTCGTAATGAAAAATATTGATAGCTGAAACACTAGTCCATTCCAGCTATTTTTCGTTGAGGGGTGGGGGTGGGGGACGGTCACAAGTTACTCATAACTTAACTGTTCATTTCGTGAAAATTATCAATAATGCCGGGTCCATAATTGTCGATCTTTTACACGGAGAGAAAAAGTTTCGTTTGTGGGTGGGTCAAGGGAAGTTTCGTTTCGAAAATATTGATATTACAGACATCAATACAGGGGGGTGGGGGGTGGGTGGAGGAGGATCCTTCTTTCATTTCATGAAAATTATCGATAATGCTGGATAGCTCCTTAGTCTATGCAATAAAATAGTTGTTTTCTTCACACAGTACCGTAAAGTTTAAACAATATCCAGCCAGGTTTGTACCGAACATTTTTTCGAAAGGTAATTTCTCAAATGTTGCCTTGAGTACGTTCTCAGCAACATAGCGGGCCAGTTTCACATACTCTAATTTCAGAAATTTTAGGTGCTCAATATTTTCGGTATGAGAGCAAAAGGCCAGGTTAGGTGAACAGATAATTTAGGTACAGAGAAGCAGTTCTCTATCGGATTATGTGTTAGGGTTTGTTCGGTGTATTGAAATTTTAGGTATGAAACAGACGCACCGAAAGTACCGAAAATAAAAGTACACTTAACATTTGTGAAATTACAGTAATTGGACTGCAAACTTGCATCGCTGGTTGTTGCAGCTCCATCACAGGCGTATCACGGGAAATTGAGTCCAGCTCCACTTCTAGGTTGGGTGACACGTGATGGGCATCACTTCCTGCATGCTGGTGCATGTGACTCAAGAGCTCTGGCTGGCAAGAAGTTTTAGACTGCAGGTGCAATGCAAGATTTGTCTGCGATGTGCTATGCATTGTGCATTGCATTTCTCGAGAGACACTTCACGCTATGTGAAAAAAAGAATTTCGCTCGATGTGGTATTGTGCATCGGGCAGTGCAACTTTCCCACAAAACTGGACTCAAAGCGCCTTATAGCTGTGGTTTACAGCAAAGATTTTCCTATTTGCGACTCTTGGTTTAATGAGTGCAGTAGCATGCATGTGCCTGGTGATATTATTGCAATGGATCATAGTGAGGGCGTCGCAGTACTTGTGCACTGATAGTTGGTATTGACATGAGTACATAACCAAGAGTGGGCAACTCGATGATCCCTCTGCCCATGGCAGAAAGTTTCATCACTTCGGTTTTTGTGGGCCATTGGGCTCACTAATACCATCATGCGTAGCCAGAGATTAAAACTTGTACATCACAGCTACGGTAGGTGAAGCAGAACAATAAACTGTGGATCCATGCCTACTGAACCTGATGAAACACTCTATCTACATGGCACATGTAGACATATATGCGCGCTTGCTCATAATCATTTGATTTCGAAGCCGTTCGTACCTTATGTTAGTAGTTGCACATTCTTAGTAGTTATGTAGTTTGATAATAACGTTACGATAGATTATCAATACTGGTGGAAACGTTATGCGGGTTGCATGATTTTTTACCCGGTGTGCCATGGCCAGGCATGCTAATTCATCGGATATTAGCAAGTTTGCCTGCCTGCTGGGTGTTGTATCTTAGCTTCACTGTACTACAAATACGATATGCTTAGTTTTCCTAAATTGCTTCATTATAACATTCAGTTTGTTTTGCTGCAATCTTTTCACGTGTTTTGCAGGATTGTAGCCAAGGGTGAATACCATTATCATGAGCGAAGGTCTCTGAGAACCCATGTCTGAAAGCTGGTCATGTTGGCCCAACGCTGACTTTCATTGTCTGTATCCGCCACCTTCATACTGGAATGAACTGGAACATGTTCACTCTCTGTTTCTCATGTGGAAGGACGGAACAGATTGTTTGTCTGTCTCTGTGGATCACCGAAGGCTGAACAGTACAGTTGGAAGAATATTGGATCTCACGAAGTGCCTGAATCTGAAGCGGCTGACATGCATCTGCACAGCGCTGTCTTTCTGAGATTTGCTTCAAGGCAGGTTATTGTGTACAATTTTGTCCACAGTATTCCAATATTTGCCAAACGTATTTCTCTGATAGGATTGCGACTACACACGCGCAATGATCTCTCCGTCATCAGTCTTTCGCAATGATGTGGCTCACTGATGACAGCATGCATAGCCATAGATCAAATGAGCAGCTAAGGTAGTTGAAGCAGAAGAATGGATCAATGCATCCTGAACCTTGTGTACTGCCTATATGCACTCTCAGAAGTATTTGTAACGTATTAACTATGAAGTATCAACATTGCTTCTCTTCTATGTGGGTGGTGTGAGTGATGTCAGATGATCTGTACTGCCATGGCCGATGGTGTTCACTGGAAGATGTTGGGTTGGGCCATTGAGCCCTCTTGCAATATGCTGTTGCAGCCTGAAGGCACTGAAAACGTTCGAATGCTGATCTGCTTTCAAGTGTAGAATGTCCCATTGTGTGCATTACATATTTGCATAATTATGTTTTGTACTGGAGTGTGAATGTGCGGCAAGGGCGTGCACATGTAAGTATATCGCACTGGAAACAGCCTAAGAGTTCACGTGGTATGTGATAAGTACACTTTTGGAAAGTGCGTGCACAGTCGAATCATGTAATGTTAAAACAGCCTTCGTGCTCCTCCCTGAATGGCTATGCAAGTAGAAATCTCCGGCTTCCTTTGCTTCTTTTTGCTTGAGCTGGCATGGTGGTCGTAGAGTTGGAATTTGTCAAGTATGATAACAATCGTTGTTTGGTCTAGAGACAAGAATGCATTTGGATATTTGTCCCAGGACTGCATGGCTTCCCAAACTGCACGTTGAATGCCATAGATGATTATTGTTCGGTTCAAGAAAGGACCCGTGGATCTGTCTGGCTATTGTGAGCTCTCGCTAGTCCATTTCCATAGCACTTGCTCTGGATTCCCTCGCTGGAATACCGTAAAAGCCCCTGCATACGCCCACCCTCCGTGTACACGCCCAGTCAGGGGAAGACAACACTTTTGTTTCAAAATAGCGCCCATGCCCAGGTATGCCGGAAACACCAGTACATGTACAGGTACTGATACCCAATACTTACTGCTATCCCTATTCCAAGTGTACGCCCGGTTCCAAAATAACGCCCGTGCCCTTGTATACACCCAGGAAATCGAGGCTGCTATTCTACACGCCCGGGGGCCTATACACGGGCTTTTACGGTATTCTCCGGTATAGACCAAGAAGTTTAGAAAACCTACTGGTGATATTAGTATGTTATACTAGTTTCTCCGCACTGTACCGCAGCTTTTGTTATCACACACATGTGGGTTATATAGTTTATCTACAATCCAGCATGATGTTCTTCCAAGAACGCCCCCGACCTAGGCCCTCGGAACGACGTTCTTGGGTGTGCAACATCACTTATAGTTCTAAATCTTAGAATTTAGCGCAGGATTTTTAGTGATCACGGTTTCAAATGCATGTCATTGCACTCCACCTTTGGGATAAAAGCTTGTCATAAGAGAAGAGCAGACTTAAATAGGCATCTTGTACGCATGATTTCTAAAATGTAACATCCCTGCTGAAGAGCGTTCTTCCATACTACAGTACAGTCGAGCGTCCAAGAACGTTGTGTCCAAGAGGTTAGCCCGGGGTGTTCTTATTTTTCAGCTGTCCGGCTGCGCTCTTATAGCATGTTCTTAGAAACAAACATGTTAGCATCATATGTATCCCGAAAGCTGCCGGATAACCAACACCCCCATTCTTTTAAACTTTAGGCGGTGGCGTTCTTACCGTACTTCCGCACATATAAGCGCATGTGCTTATGTCCGAATATAAGCGCACCCCTCAATTATAAGCGCATGTGCTTATATGTGAACACTATTGGTGAAAAGGCGGGAGCGAAATATACCACTAAGTGGTGTGATGACACCATTGTTTAGGACACAGACAAACCTGTATTGCGCATATGTCATGGCCCTGCGTAGACAGTACTACTCACCAATACTATAGTAGTGCTGCACACATTCATTATCAGCCTGTCACCTACCTCTACCGCGGCTCTTCATCAATGTTCTCTTCCTTTTGATTAGGATAGGGTTACCTCTCCTGTCGCCGGACCTAGACTATCCATTACCATAGAACTGTCAGCTATTGTCTCTGTTGCCGGTCCGCTGGTCTGCTGTTCCGCTTAGTTGCTTCAATTCATGATTAGCATTAGCTTCAATACTTAGATACATCACTCTTTGCTGAGTTTAGCACAGCTCACTACTCGTTCGCTGCTGCCTGCTCGATCCTTCCCTTCGTAGCCGCTCGCATAGAGTTCAGCTAGTATAAGTTCGCTGACTTAGCCAGATATCGATTAGTCTTGTTTGAGTCTTGGATTAGTCTTGTATGAGTCTTGTATTAGTCTTATTCTCTTTTATAGCTTTCTTGACTTTCTTTATAGGAGTTCCGCTACCGCTCAAGCGGACTTGTCCGCTTGAGCCGGTTTGGCCTTTGACTTTCTAGTTTCTTACTGTTCCTTTGTTCCTTTACTATATCGGACCTGAGGGCTCCGCCACCCTGACTTCTCTCTGTGCTTTGGGTCTGAGGTACGCCTGAGTGGAACTACCAAGAGGCGCACATATACTTTGTGCAAACGGGCTTGGGATAACTAACACGTAGGGACGATCAGCCAGCCACGACACTTGGTGCTGTGACCAGGATTCGTCTTGGTCTAGTTTCCCAGGCCCTCCGCCCTACTCTTGGTCTATGCACTACCCGTCGTCGTTCCGTCCTTGGACCTCCGATGTGACTCTGCCGTATCTGTACGTCGCCTCACGAGTCCTTTGGATTGTGAGTGCCTACTGACGATTCCTCGTCGATCGACGAGTCGTACGCCAAATCCGTTGAAGACACGCGCTCCGAGTTGCGTACGGCAACAAAGAGAATACTTACGCCAGGTTACCACTGCATTCGCAGTCGTTTCCTCTTTGAAGAGAAGCAAAAGAGACGTTCCTCTGTGTTGATCGTCAGTTACGCCGCTCTGCTGTTTCAGCAAAGCCATACGCTCCCAAACGTGTTGTGGTACTGTCTGTGCTGCTTCCGTTGGCCTACGCCTTTGTGATCAGTCCTGCCTCCGGAGCCGGGGGCTAGCCCTGGTCAATCTGTTCGCCTGTGTTACGCCTGTGAGTGTGAGCTGTGTTCCGCTCGCAAAAAAAAAAGAGTTTCGTCTCTTCGCCGGATGCATGCTCCGCGATCTTCGTTGTACATGATTGTACAGTCCGCACTCTCTGAGCGTGCGCTCACTCCGTTGTGTGTTCCAATCAGCTCAGCTGGTATGGTTCACCGGTTTCTCCGCCGATGTAGTTCCTGTGGGAGCTGTTGACGAAACGCTCATGAGTTACGTGAGTGCTCCGTTGTACTCGACGAGTTTGGGTCCCGCGCGTTGGGCCATTCACCGCTGCAGCACTTCCTCCGGGAAGAGGTTGACTCTACGCGCTCTCCGCCTGATGGAGATGGCCATCCTCCAGCTCTGTGCTCGAGCTCGTTTACGCAGGGTGACGGAGTATGCGCGTCATGCCTCGTCGGTCTTCCGCTTGATTCCGCCAGACCACTTACGCTTATCTCCTGGTGTTGGCCTTTGTCCGCTGTCCACAGCTCCTGTGGTGCATTGATTGTCTTGATAATTGAGAGATGGCTCTCGTGATACTGATACGCCCTGCAACAGGCGCCTGGCGCCACCTCCGTCCTATTCATATTTCGTTTCTGTTTCCGCTGATAATTGTCCTTTGTCCCGCGTGGCGATTGAGTTTCGTCTGGTCTGATGCGCTATTGGCGATGTGGTTCCGCCTGGTGCAAGAGAAGGATTGTGCGCACGATTGGTGCGGTTCGGATCGTCACTGGAGAAGTTCCTGGTCTCGTGACTGGATCCAAGATCGGAGTAGAGAGAAAAGGCTCCGATGGCTCGCGGTTAGTGGTTGCGCTGATTGCCCGTCGTTGTATTGCTGCCGAGTGCTGGCGACGAAATTGAAGTCCGATCTGACCGTGGAGTGGTTTGTGTTGTAAAATGCGTAGCCGGCTACGTGACAAGCGGCGAAAGGCTGCTGTGCCTGTGGTGCTCGGGAGCTCGCGTCCGACTGATCAACGGAGAGCGGAGCTGGCCAGGTAAGAGTACGGAGATATATGCACGCGATCAGACCACCGTCTTTTGTGAGTTTTGTTTTTTTGGTTGTCAGTGGAGGTTAGGGTTCGTCCGCAATTGTCGAAAGTTTTTTCCAATCCGTAGTAGCTTCAAATTTTTCCTCACCCACCCACCCACCCCCCCAGTCCGTAATAAAATATTATTGATGGACACACAACGCAACACATATGGAACAAACTCAATCAGTGCTGGTCCATCCTTGTTCGTCGTCTTGGACAACTGCCACAAGCAATTTATTTTTCTGTAATAATCAGAGTCACCAGCGGTTTCGAAAAAGGGCTGCTTCTTCACCGCCTTTCCAAACAACGTCGCCTGTCTGGACATAGTCAATAACAGTCGTCAGCGCCAGCGCTAGACGGAAGGACTTCAAAGGAGTGCATGGAAGACGGTACTCTGGACGAAGGAGACAGTGAAACTCAAAAATAGAAGGTGTCGACTCGCCGTCGAATGCGCCGAACTTTATGATCCCCGGCCCAGGAGGAGCAGCCAAGGAAGCGCGCGCGGGGGCGCAGAAACTGCCAGAACTACAAAAATATTATAAGTAGTAGACAGTTCGCCCGCAGCCGCGCGTGGAAAACAGGGGCTACACGTAGACGTACACGTGGCACGCGCACGTGTCATTTCGGAAGTTTTTCAATCCGTAACTGGCCTTGACCCACCCACCCACTTTCGAAGCTACTGCGGATTGGAAAGGGCTTTCGATAATTGCGGACGACCCCTTAGCTGGTTTTATTTTTCAAGGTTTTGGAAGGGTTTGTCTGAAGTATTTGTTTTGCAAGCAGTAACCATGGTAACGGGTTTACTGGTTTCAAGGGGTGCAGAGGTACTAGCTAGGTAATGAATGGTAGTTATTGAGTTCACGGAGGTTGAGAATCTTGGGTTTACTTTAGATTGAAGAATACGTACTAGAAAGTTCAGGCACCAGCTGTTGACGTAACATTGTTTTGTAATCATTTTGTTATTATTTTTGGAGGTTTTGTTGATTTATCCACCTATTCTATCACGGGTTCCGGGTCACTGATGAGTACCATTCTACTATGATGTCTATGTGAAGTACACCTTTGGGCTGTTACTTTTTCGTGTTACCAGGGTGTCAGGCTCTGTTTTGAAGTA